GGTAGATGGGAGATTTGTGAAGGATCCGAGTATGATGGCCTTTATTGCCCCCAAGGAACCAAGGGGGTTAGGTGTGTCTATTTTCATCGAATGTCCTACCTCACTCAAGAGGTATTCTAGTACTAATTTGTCTTCTTTCTTGCAAAGGATCATAAGAGGGGTGTTGCCCAACCTTTGTGATCTTCTGTTGTTTTCAGCGAGCTTCTAAAGGTTTGGACCCTTGAGCTGGAAAACCCTTTTTGTTCGGGTTGCACACCTACTTTTGGGGTACCGACCCGGCCACACCCATTTCTCCCAAATTCCTGAGCCCTTCAATATTTCCCTCTAGTTAGACCATTCCTCTGGAGAAAAAAAGGCGAACCTTGAGGGCAACCCAGACAGAGTCTCCGAGGCCACTCCCTCTGCCTCCAACTCCCCTCACCCTCTGAATCCAAAATGCCTCATTTCCCTCAAATCACAGTCGAGAGCCTACAGCCACCACAGCGGTGAAGAGGGCCCTTACCTCTAGACCTAGTAGGTCTTCCGGGACTGTGGCAATTACCCTTCCCAGTCGCGATCTCAACAACAACAACATTAGTAACAATAATAGCAATAGCAACAGCAGCGACAATAACAACGGGTATGCCCGCTTCCACCCCATATGCCATAAAGTAACAGATTTCTCCCACAGAGCTCTTAGAATGGTTCTATATGCCCATAAAACATTAAGTAACTTCTCGGTCCATCTGCCCTTTGCCCCTTCCAACCTTTTGCGTTGTGGGTATGTCAGGGTGGAATAGTAGTTACGGATCCCGAATCTCGAGTAAAATTCCCAGAACATGCCGTTATTGAATTGGGTGCCGTTTTTTGACACAAGGGCCCGTGGAATCCCAAATCAAAAGTAATAATATTCTACCATATGAAGTTTTTGGTGTCGACGTCCTGAATGCGGCTTAGGGGCTCGACTTCGATCCATTTTGTGAAGTAATCCGTGTTCACCAAGAGAAACTTCTTATTTAACGACGCTCTCGAAAGCAAGCCTACTATATCCATACCCCATTGAGAGAATGACCATGGACTCGTTAGTGGGTTAAGGTCACCTACTGGCTGGTGAATGATAGGGGCGAACCTCTGACAGTGATCACATTTTTGAACATATCTCTTGGCATCTCTTTGCATGTATGACCACCAATACCCTTGAGACATGATTTGGTGTTCCAAAGACCTTTCGCATATCCCTTCGTGGATTTCATATAACAACGACTTGACCTTGTCCTTGGGGACACACAACAAATAGGGTCCCAAGAAGGATTTTTGATATAGTTTTTCGTCGGGGGATACCTAGCATCTCGAAGTCTTGAGTTTCATCTTCATGGCTTTTTTACCATCTTCATGAAGTTCCCCAACCAATAAATACTTGACAATCAGGTCCGTCTAGCTCGAAGGTACATCCCAAATGTCCACAGGAAGTATCATCTCAGCATCAACGTTTTTTGTACTTAGTCTATCCATGTGTTCTACATTTATTCTCTGAGTAATATCTGAAGCCAAGGCCGAGGCCAAGCATGCTAGTCCGCCAACATGGCTGTTGTGATCCCTAGAAATCTAGGACACTTTGATCTCCTCAAACCCTCTCATTTTGGATTTCACTTGTTGATAATATGCCTTCATCTTGTCATCTCGGGCCTTAAAGTCTCTGTTGACCTGGTTGACCACCAACTGGGAGTCACAAAAAACATGGAGGCATTTGATCTTAATAGATAATTCCATACCGACCGTTGCATTCAAGGACCCGTCGACGTGCAGGTTTCATATGCTACTTGAGTCGAGGTTCTCCTGAGTCTCTTCGGTAAGGGTCTCGGATGCAGAGAATTTAGCTATAAAGTCAGCTAGTACCTATCCCTTAATGGGGGTGCAAGGTTTGTACCATATCTCAAATTCCCCCAACTCAATGGCCCACCTGGTGACCCTCCCCAATATGTTGGCTTTATGGAGGATGGCCCTCAAGGGTTGATTAATGATGACTTCAATGGGATAAGCCTGGAAGTAATGCTTGAGTTTCCTCGCCAATGTGACTAGTGCAAGTATGAGCTTCTCCATCAATAAGTACCTTGCATCAGCATCAAGCAGGGTCTTACTAACATAATACACTAGTCTCTAGATAGTGTCGAGTTCTCTTACCAACACTCCATTGATCGTGCAATTTGAATAGAGGTTCAAAACCTTGCCAAGAATAGGGATGGAGAGGGTTGGAGGTGACTCCAAATACTCCTTTATCCCCTCAGGGCCTGATCATAGTCTTCATCCTAGGGGCCCTTCATTGCCCCTTTAAGCATAGAAAAAATGGTTTACATAGTTAAGGGCTGCCAACATTCCAATAAGCTTCTGAATTTCCTTGGTGGTCTTTGACCTTTGTATTCGTTGCACCGACTGTATCTGGTCGGGATTGGCTTCAATTCTTCAGTGAGTGACTAGGTAATCCAAGAATTTACCCGAGCTTACCCCAAATGCACACTTGGATGCGTTCAATTTCAGAACGTGTCTTTAGAGTATGATGAATGTTGTTCTGAGGTCCCTTAGGTGATCGATCTTGTCCGTGCTTTTCACTAGCATGTTGCCGATGTAAACTTCTATGGTGGTGTCGACTTGCTTCTTGAACATCTTGTCAATCAAGCGCTGATACATGGCACTGGCATTCTTCGGTCTTAATGACATCACCTTGTTACAATAGATCCCCCAGGGGTTTATAAAGGCCTTTGTTTCCTAATCAGCTTATGTAATGAGATCTGGTGACAGTCTACTCGGGCATCCATGAAGGTTACGCATTCATGTCTAGCGATGGCGTTCACCAGCTGATTGACTTTCGGGAATGGGTAGTCATCTTTGGGACATGCTTTGTTGAGGTTTGGGAAGTCGATGTAGACCCCCCCATTTCCCACTTTTCTTACCGCAGATGGTATTGGACAATCACTCGGGGAATTGATCCTTTTTAATGGCCCCACCCCGAGCAACCGGTCTACTTCCTTGTCAACTACCTGAACGTGATGGGGCACTGATTGCCCAGCTATCTACTTCACAAGGCTAAAGGCTGGGTCAACATGTAGTCGGTGGCAAATCACTTTGAGACTTATCCCTATCACCTCAGCAAGCATCCAGACGAACATCAGAATTCTGCCGAAGGAAGTTTGTCATGTCAGACTTCTCGGCTTCTCCTAGTGATGCCCTATGAGAAAGAACCTCTCTTCGTTGCCAGAACGGAGGTATATTTTGACCATGTCCTCCACTGATCGGTCAATTAGGTCAACCAAAAGTTCTTTGACCTCTAGTCGACCAAACTGTGATTGCTATTTAGCCACAACTTCTTCAGGGTCTCGCTCCTTGGTCTTATCATTGGCCCCAGTCTTCACTGCAGCATAAAAACAGCTTTTAGATGAGGCTTGGTCGACGTGGGTCTCCATGACTCCCTTCGGGGTTGGCAACTTGATCTTCTAATGGTACAATGAGTGCACCACTTTCAAGGCTTGTAGCCAAGTCCTCCCCATTATGACATTATAAGGCGAGTCAAAATCTATTACCATAAACTCCACGAGGGTGGTGACGATTTCGATGATAACTAGGAGGGTGATCTTTCCAAAAGGCAATGCATATGAGGCATTGAACCCCATTAGGGGCGTTTTTACAGGCTTCAAATCTTTCTACGAAAATCCCATCTTCTGGAGAAGGTTGTGATACATGTCCTCGGATGAACTTCCCGAGTCTATCAAGATCCTCTTTACATTATACTTTTCAATCCGAAAAGTGATAACCAGGGCATCCTCGTGGGGTAGGACTATTCTAGCGAAGTCGACGTCTGAGAAGGAGATCACCTCTTATTCATACCAAGCTCACTTAGGTGATTGCCCCTCATCCTTCTGCTCCTCCACCTTAATAGCTTATGCCACCCTCTAGAGGTCAGCACGTAGAGAGTTGTAAATGGGTTGTTCGACCGTACAAGCATGAATGACTTCTATGATGGTTGTCGCCCCCCGGCTTGTTCCCTTTACATCCTTCATCGAGCCCTTGGCATCAGCATTATTGATGAACTCACCGAGGTGACCATCTTGTACAAGTTGCCCGATGAACGCCTTGTAGACCCTACAATCCCCGGTCAAGTGCCTGGTGTCTTGATGGTATGAGCAACGAGAAGTCGAGTTCCTAGTGAAAGGGTCCCCTTGCATCTTGGGCGGCCACTTGAAGAAAGACTTTTTCTTGATTTTGTGGAGCATGAACACTCCTTTACAGGACATACGAGTCGACGCCGGGGCCGATGTCCTTTTTTTACTAGGGACCATTTTCTCCTTTTTCTTGGGCACGACCACCTTGGCTTTTGCGACTGAGACCTCCTTTTCCACCTTGGAATACTTATTAATGAGGGACATCAAGTCCTTCATGTCCATTGGGGTCCATTTGATTAATGATAGGTACAGGTCAGTGTCTCGGGATAGTCCAAGTCTAAAGGTCGTTGTTGCCATAATGTTGGAACATCTCTCGACTTCATTAACCTCCTCCCAGTATCGAACCACATATTATCGAAGTGTCTCTCCATCCGTTCGTTTAAGTGTTAGTAGTGCACCATCTTTCGGCCTATTGCTGCTAGTGATAAACCAAGTAATGAATTTCTTGGTCATCTACCTCTAGGACCCAATACTCTCTAGGGCCAAACTCTCATACCATTTCATAGCATTGTCCCTAAGGCTCATTGGGAACAACAACATAATAGCTTATAGATTTTGGTTGGTCTCATAGATGGACATGAGTTGCTTATAATGTTGGATGTGACTCTCGAGATCTATCCTCCTATTATAAACCTTGAAGCATGGAACAATAAAATTTTTCAGCATCTCCACTTCCTTGATGGCTTGGACGAAGGGTGACATGATTTGTTCATCTTCTATGTCACCTATCTCCTCCCGACGTGTCTTCTATTGCTGGGTATTGAGACGAGAGCAGAGATCCTCCCAAGTCCCTTTATTCTTAAGTACTTAGTCTACAAGTTCCTTGATAGAAACAGTCAACCCTGTGTGTAAGCTTTCCCTTTCAACACCTCCAGAAAGCTTATGGTAGAGATCTCTACGCGACAATACTTGTTTGCGTTTTCCCTTTCCCCCAGAACGCTCTTTTAGGGGACGTTGGGATTCTTGCTTCTTATCCAACCGATGACGTAGATCCCTTTTTGAGATCTCTCGAGGAAGATCACAGGAGTATTTCCGATGGACGCTCCAGCTCCCATGTTCTTTACTTTGCCGACTACCTTCGCCCGATCGCTCAAAGTCACTCAGTCGATTGAGGATGTTGACATTGTCTCGTTCAATTCGTTTCAAATAGCCACCCAACCATTCTTCCATGAGCTCCGTTATTTCTCAAGCTAAGACACCTTGCCCTCCAAAGCTTTGGTCAAATGGCAATGTTTTCTATGAATTACGCCTAACACCATCTGACTAATCCAAGGTGCAAGATTCCATTATTGCAGGAAGAGGATTAGCTCACGCGCGCAAGCCACCCCTACCTCGCCCTAAGATCGAGTGTTCACCACATATATTGCTACAGGAAAGTTTGATCCAATAACTTTTCCACAAATGACACCAAATTGTACTAGAGAATTCCTATAATAAGTTGAGATAATGATCCATGCTAATGATCTTTCTAATGATCCTAAAAACAGTATACGAAGTTTCTAAAAGGGTCAAGTGAACACTCAGGTTATCCCCTACAAAGCTTAAGTCAGTCGACATATAAGTGTGTAGAGAATTCAATGTAGAGCGTTTTTAGCTTGCGTAACTGAATTCTGCTTCGAGAGGGGTATTTTATACCTCAGATTGTGATGATGTCTCTCCCATCTGGAGTCCTATCCTAGACTTTAGTAACTGTTGCTCATAATCTAGCATAATAAGTGTTATTTTGTCACACCTCATCAATGCTGAGTGATTAGACGTTTGAACGTGTACTTAGGAATAAGCCGAGCATTCATGGCTACTTTCCCAATTATCGAGTGCTCTAAATTAATGCACAAAACCTACAACCAAGCATTTATAAGTAACTACTAGGCCCCCATGGGATCCCCTGAGGGCTCCCCTCGGCCTAGATGCCTGAAGTGCTGCATAATGACAGGTGTTTTCACGTTTATTAAGGATTAGTCAGTCGTTAATGTGATCCTCATTAATGACCAGTCACACTCTATTAAATG